TATGGATCCCAGACACCAGCACCGGCTACACAAAAGTGCATATTCTCTTACATATGATAAGTCAACATTGAAACACCTGCGGCTTTTAGTCAGGTGCGGCTAATATATGTACAAAACAGGATTTTCCCCTGATTTTAGCTTGTGCAGCTAATATTCGGGTGCGCTTTGTAGTCCGGGAAATACGGTACATCAGAGCGTAGCTTCATCGTCCTCTTTCACTCGGTCACGTTCACTTTGAGACAGCATGTGTGGTTCTCTCAGAAACGAAGCGCAGCCTCCTCCGCGTCTCTCCCCCATAGCCAACCATGTGTCTTTACACTGTTACCATGTCAATATGATAAACACTACAGATATGATAGTGTAATGTAATAATGGGATATTTTGTAGACTGGAAACTTCTTTCCCTCACAGTGAAAGATGTTTCCTGATAGTTTTCTCTGGGGAAGCATTTGTTTCAAAACTTGAATCTTGTTTGGCGGCTGTGTGTGCGTTTCTAGTTAGTTAGTTACTATAGTAACCAGTCCTCACAGCTGATGACTGTTTAAAACTCTGCTGGTGATGCTGACGCCATCAGCTGTGTTAGCTGCTGCCATAGGTTAAAGTTCCTGGCCTTTATCATCCAAAGCAGTGAGCGCGGCTGCACCAGTGCTGCTACGGGACAGTCTGAGCCTCCGTGGAAACGGCATTTTACGAGTTTGGAGGTTTGTAGTGCTGATTCACTCCATCACACTGGCTCTAGTGAGGCTCCCAGCCAGCACTCGCTTTGTGTTTGGAGCCTGTGGGGCTTTCAGCCCTCTCAGCCCAGCTGCTCTTCAATTTGGCTCCTCTTGGCACTAAAGGTTTGGGGTGATGACAAGGGCGGCAGTGCCTCTCACTGGCCACTGGATGTGTGACATGAATGTGGGTCACACTGTGAGGTCCTCTGGATCACATGACCAGCTTTGAGCCAGCCATTTATCGTGGTCACGTGACACAGCCCTCCATGGCAGAAGGAGGAGGGTGTAGAAAGGGCGAGGTGCTGATGGAGTCACAGCCATCTGTGGAAGGCATGAACGAGGCTGAGAGGGCATCATGAGTTGTGTTCCTCGTCGTCTTTCTCAGAGCCGCTCTTTTTAAGGGAACTCGCCGCCTCCTTCACGCAATGATACAGGATGTTCTTCACCTGCAGGGAAAGAGCAAGGCGAGACGTGTAAGTGCTGCACCTCATCCATTTCTTTTACAAGAATTATGTTCAAATCTCAAACGTCAAGCAGCAACCTTTGGACCTGAAAAGCTGCCGTTCCTCTAAGGACCCCTTGAGGCTCCACAAACAAGTTCATTCCCATAGATTGCCACATAACCAACCAGCATTAAAAGCTGCGTTCACAGTCTGCCCCCCCAAAATGTTATTTTCCCCCTCTGTGGATATTTCATAACAAGTGTGCAGCAGCAGTGAAGGTATGGCTGCTCTGACTGACTCATGTTGAGCTGCTAGCTGCTAGCTGCTAGCTGCTGGCTGCTAGCTGCTAGGCTTCACCAAGAGTCACTGAACCTGACCTCCCACTGTGTTTGCACTGTTGGTGTCCCTGTGGAGCATTTTCACGTCGTTACCTGACACAATAAGATCCCTCTGATGATGACTGCCCCTCTGATAGACTTTGCTTTGGTTTACAAACACAAACGCAGCAGAAAAGCAGAATACAGACGATGTGGAGACGCAGTCTAACTCTCAGCCACAGAGCTCTAACCACAGCGAGACTGTGTGATCGTGTGTCTGCTGACACTTTTGTGTTACCTGTAGTTTGTCTTCATAGTTGACCTCCTCGTTGTTGGGTCGCAGCTCCTGGGTCAGGTGGAAGGAGTTAGCCACGTGCTCAGGAGACACGAAGTCATTGATGACTTGAACACAGCTGTGGAGGTTTTGGACCTACAG